AAAAAAAAAAAAGTCTTGTTCCCATATATACTAACAAGGACAAAACTGCCCAGACTTCTCAGACTCCTTTCACACTAAAATGAAGAGCCAGGGGATGTGACCACACAGCTCAAAAGCAGACAGGAATCAGCTACAATCATGTAAGGAGACTGATGCTTTGATCAATCCATTGATTGATCTATCTTCACTACAGAATGCAGACACAATTAAATTCTGCTCTCCTGCAGCCATTACACTTCAATGTACGCTCAGGAAGTCTCCTGCACAGCAGAGCCATAACATAATTAACATTAAAATGGGAACAAACACCATCCACACAGCTAAACTTCGAGCAGTAAACTGGGATTCAGCTGGTAGGTAATGATGAGAGGAGAGAGACATAAGCCGGGAAAGCTGACTCCAGCTGAAGGAAACAGATGATCATAAACGTGATCCTTAAAATAAAGGCAGAGCAATCTTTAAGAGTATTTGGGTTAGACCAGAGGGAACAGCCAGAAATACAAAGCCAGATGGAAAGCAAAAGAAAGAAATTAAGAATATGAGGGAACTGAAAATGTATTTCTCATCTGTGAGCACAGACTAGCTTGCAAACGTTTATTAGCTCTGAAACTGCTCACCCTAGTGCCAAAAATTTCTAAGCCCTGTCACATCATGAAAATATTTAACCTTCAAGCACAGTTCTGAGGAGCACTCACAAATCTGACTGGCAACTAAAATGTTTTCAATTCTATTTTTGTTTCCTCCTGGCCACTGCCTCTCTATTTTAACTTATAATACCTACGTCAAATTAAGATTCCAGCTCATCCATCAGAAGTAATAAGACTGAGCAACTCAAACTTAATTTTATTAGTGTTTCATAAGCCAATAACAACAAAAAAAAAGAGGAAATACAGGCTCATGGCACTCCATCTGCATTTTAAGCTGTCAGGCTAATAAGATTAAAAGCATTTCACTTCATAGAGGAAGTAAGCAGGACTACGCAACTAATACTGATTTTACAATAAATAAGTAGAGGTGAGTACTTCTAAAAGCAGGTAAAATGTCAGTGTTTGTTACAAAAAGGTCCCTTGTCCAGCCTCTATGTGTTGTTGACACAGATTATTGTCTTTCAGAAGTTTAGCCAAAAGAACTGAATTTTAAAGAATAAAGTAAAAGGAGAAAGCAAGGAGGGGAGAACAACCCACGACAGACAGTCTGGGAAAGAGAGTTTTATCCTCAGCTCATATCCTTCTTACCTTTTCTTTCCTCAAGGTTGAAGCAACTCATTCAGACTGTAATTACAGATCTTCTACTAGAGTTCGCAACAAGTAACGAATTAGTGGAGCTTCTTTTGGCATGGAAAATTTAACAAACAACTACTTTAAAAGCAGGAGAATTTAACAGGGAAAACACCAAGTCCAGTTACAACCAACTGTCCATATGGAGAAGCTGATCTAAGGCTAGAAAAGGCTCTGGTGCATACCTGCTACCATCTAAAGACCATGTTGTCTACTATGACAGAAAGGCAGCCTTTTTTCTTGGGTGTCACACCCATGGTGTATGTATTTCTCAGTACAAGAGGAACCACTGTTGTTCCACGCTTCTCTGCCGTTTGCAAAGTCAGGTTCAGGAAGTCTGTGTCACCTGCGTGTAGTAGTAACTTACCAACCTCCACATGAACATCTGCGTGCCCACCGTTGGTCATCCCATTCATCAGCTCTGTATCCTCCAGTTGCAGCTGAACCGGAGGCCGGAACTTCAGCTCCTCCTCCACCTTCTCCCAGTTGGTCTTCATTGGAGGGCCACTTGCACAGTTAAAATGGCATTTCACTTTCTGAATAATGTTATCTGAAACGATAGAAAAACATGCTTCGATTAGCTCTGCAAAAGTTAAGTGCTTCAGGTAATTACTAATCAAGTCATGGTGTTCTTTCTTGATTGTTTTTCATTTCTTTTCTTACTAGTTTCAGGTATAAAATCCCCCCGCTGCTTGGGGAACAAAAATACCTCTCTAGGTATTTTATATCACATGCACTCCTTTTTGGATACTTTAAATCTCCACATCCTGCCTGCCAGTGGGCTGAAAACAAGCTTTTATATTCCAGGGCAGATATAACACATATAAAATCAGAGAATGGTTTGGGTTGGAAGGGGCCTCAAAGATCATCCAGTTCCAACCACCCTGCCATGGGCAGGGAAACCCTCCACTACAGGGTTCCCCACAGCCTCATCCAACGTGGCCTTGAACACTTCCAGGGATGGGGCAGCCACAAATTTTCTGGGCAACCTGCTCCAGTGCCTCACTACCCTCTCAGTGAAGAATTTCTTCCTTATATCCAATCTAAATCTCCCCTCTTTCAGTTTAAAGCCATTTCCCCTTGTCCTATCACTACATGCCCTTGGAAAAAGTCCCTCTCAAGCTTTCCAGTAGGCCCCCTTTAGGTACTGGAAAGCTGCAATAAGATCACCCCGGAGCCTTCTCTTCTCCAGGCTGAACAGCCCCAACTCTCTCAGCCTGTCTCCATAGCAGAGGTGCTCCAGCCCTCGGATCATCTTCGTGGCCTCCTCTGGACTCGCTCCAGCAGCTCCATGTCCTTCCTGTGCTGGGGACTCCAGAGCTGAACACATTCCAGATGGTGTCTCACGAGAGCAGAGCAAAGGGGCAGAATCACCTCCCTTGACCTGCTGCCCACGCTTCTTTTGGGAATATGTTAAGCTACCCATGAACTACCATGAGAAGCAACTCCACATTGTGTTTTAACAATGTCGAGGATTAGCTTTTTTCCAGCAGAGAGAGGAATGTAATTCAACTTATATTTGAAACAACTCTGACTGGCAGAGGCAATTTCAGTGATCCCACCAACTCCCAAGCCACAGATCTACATCCAGATCACTCTGCTTCACCTCTCACACTTTAAATTTAATACCATTTGCAAGTGAATATCTCTCCACAAACGTGGCTGCTGGTTTGACAGGAGAGACTAAGTAGAGAATTTGTCCACGTACGAATCGCTCACACCTCCAGAGCTGAAGTACCTCACTGTGGATGCTGCTGCTTCCTACTTAATTGTGCAAAGACACTGGCAAATCCCAGCTATTTCAAATGCTTATGCAAATTAAACACAGAAACATTTATTTTGCTGAGATATCCTGTAAGTAAAATCTGTATCTGAAGATATTGTTACACTAGAAGACTTGCACAGGTTGACCACAGCTACTACTGGATATGATACCTACGTAACAGGTTAGGCATGAGTTTTGAGATCACACAGGAGGACTTTATGTTGTGCTAGAATACACAGGGCCATAAGCATTCCTTAGAGAAAAATCCTGTATTTTACCTTAAGTCAGCCTGCTATAATTATCAGGAACTACCAGGTAAAAGGCTAAAATCTCATGCATCAAGTGCATCTTAGATCCAACACAGGAAAGAATGAAAAAAAAACACCAAACAAAAACCCACCAAAAAAAAAACCCCACCCCACAGCAACATTAGGTAGGCTCAGTAACAAAATACAGTATAATAGTGAAAATAAAAAAAGAACAAAATATTTTTTTTCTTTAAGAAGAGCCTTATGCAATTAAAAGAGGCTAGAAATTCCCAAATTCCTACTCAAGTTAAAAAAAGGAGTAATTTGGATCTCAGTATGAAATTACATCATGCCTGGAATATGCCCTGCAGGGAATCCATCCAAAATACAAGATGGCTGTATAATATGTTTTCCTTGTGAATTTCTCAATCTTTTAAGCATGAGCTTAATACTGTTACCAAAATCTGGACAGAAGTGTGCTAACCCACTGCAATATCTTTTCCTTTCCCAGAAAAGAGCTTCTCACTGCAAGGGAATTGTGTTTTACAAAGGTGCAAGGTTCAGTAGAGCAGCTGCTACTTGGCAAGAAAACCACTTATAGCAGGTCAAAAAAAAATACTGAGCATGATTATGAAGTATTGTGTGAATCTAAGTCATGCCAGAAGTAAAGCTGCCCATAGTAATCTATTCTGTGTCCCTTTTCTACAGGACCCATCTGTTTCCCCTTGTCAGATTTTTTAATTTAAGTTAAAAAGTGTCCACGATGTGGATTTCTTTTTCTTTTGTTTATTAATCACCACAGCATTTTGTTCATCTGTTACAGAGGCTCTCAGGAACTGCAAAACCTACAATCTGATAGTTTAAGGAAGTTACAAGATCTCCCCCTTCTCCTACACATGTACAGGTTCATGGTTATGATCAGGCTTTGGCCAGGAGATATTGTTTAACATCATAAAAGCAGCAGACACAGAATTCTTACTGTTAGAGAACAAAGTTACAAACCAAATTCAAGAAAAGCATATGGTCTGGAAGCTAAACTGATGCTGGTTGTATCGTAGGAAGCAGCAAATTCCCACTGAAGCTCTTCCAGGAAGCAAAACGCCATGATAGTTGAGTAACTGCTGGAACAGATTGCCATGCAGGCGATATCCCCAGAAGAAAGGAAACTGAAACAGAGAGAGGGGGGGGAGGAAAGTAACATTAACATGAAAAGGTAAAACAGTCATGCTGAAAACCAGAAGTAAACTGTGCTTTCTGTCAAAACAAAATGGACAGACTGAGCTGAAAGGGCAGACTGCAAAAAATACCTTGTTCCCACTGCTGCAACAGTCCTGCAGCCCCTGCAGGTCCAACACTCAAATCCTGTTGTCTGCCTTCGCACACTAAAATCACAACATGGATTTTATTCAATTGCTACAGCAGTTAAAATTGAGGACATCATTTTCCCAGGCTGGCTTTAAATCATGTTAACAAGAAAAGAAACGGCCAGAAAACATCACAGGCAAGATTTGGGAAGAAAACCCAGTGGCTTTCCACAAACAAAAGTAAAAACAAGCAAGCTGTTCCTAGAAGCAAGATGTATTCCTTGTTCTCCTTGAACATGACAACTCCACGTTAACAGCAAGAGACACTCGTTACCTTGCACAAACCAACGTATTCGAACACTGTTACTGCTAAGTCATCTGTACCAAACAAAGATGAGTCTGTGTCAGAAACAGCACAAGAAAAATTTGACTCCAAAAGGGGTCCCTCTAACACTGAAGCCATATTTATGCAGAGATTTCCACTCACAAATGGCCCAAAGCTGCCTAGGAAACTTAACAGGGGATTCATCTGGCCAAAACGTAGGTGTGTAGATCAGGATGAGAGAAATCACTCTTGTCTGGTCTTCATTAAATTTGGTGGGAGTTGGGACACCCAGTTCAGGTGTCAGCACTCACAATGTAGGCAGTGAAAATTCCACAGTCTCCACCATAATTCCAGATTTGTAACTATCCCTGTAAGGAGACGGACGAAATCTTCCCTTACAGGTTAGCCACTTGTTAGCAATAATTCAGCATAAAACCCAAAGTTTTGAAGCTGAACAATCACTCTCTATTTTTTCTCTCTTTTGTATCATTTATCTATTTCATCCTTCTCATACAGGAATACTTGTGGTTTCTATTTTATCACATTTTTATTTATTTGTTAGACTATGTTCTTGGGATTTATGGTTTTGATGGGCTCTGTGGCAGCCTACTTACACTGAGTAGGTTCCCTCAATTCCTCTTGTCCCCAGCTCCTGGCTGAGGATCAACACCATGCCTGCATAAAACTACCTCTTCCAAGTAATTTATAGCCTTTTGGCCACGTATCTGTTTGCACTCCTCTCATTTCAGTGCAGATGAACAGCTAGAGGCTGCAGAAGATTAAAAGCAGCAGGCCAAGTTAGCATTAAAGGGCAAAAGTTCACTTTGAGGTGAAAGGAATTAAAATGCTAATCTCTGCTTTTCCAATTGATTCACTGTAAGTCCATGTATCTCCTTTCTCCAACCACTCCACCAAAAAAGCATACTTAGTTTTAGCTCAGGGTCACTTTAAGTTTTCTCCCATTTGCTAAGCAGAAACGCAATCACAAGCTGAAACTCGTCTTTTAGAACTAAACTAAAATCAATAGTAAACGAAAATTCTCATCTCTGAATGACAGTCTTTAAAATAAAGACTAACAGATCCTTCTCCAATAAACAAAAGCAAATATTTATAAATTTCTCCATAGTGGCTGTTGTCAATATACTTCAGGCCTTCTCAAAACACACCCATCAGCCACAGCTTCCAGACACTTGAACCCTGCTGGTATTCAGAAAATGGAGTGGGCAGTATGTAGGAGGGAGTCAGGGCAGCTCTGTGCAAGCCAGAATCAGAACTGTAGGGACCTGAGAGAAGGCATCCTAAGAGACCTGACAGTCACTGAAGAAAAGGGTTTGGGGTTTAGAGCAAACCAAGTAATTCCTCGGCACCAGGATGCCGTCTTAGAAGGTATTTGTAGAAGTCCAAGATACTCCAACTGCTAATAGTAACGGGTACTGCCCATCGAGCAGAAAGCATTTGCTACAAAAATGACAATTAAACTAAGCAATTCTTACCATGTGCTTACTAAACCGAGTAGGAGCTGTGTGGCTGTGGTGCTGACACATCAGGTTTCAGAATACTGCTTGGAGGTTACAACCTAGCCACGCATGGTGGGATTTCAGATTGGAGTCAGGCACTACAGAATACACCTTCAAGTTCAAGTCATCCTCAAGACAACCATTGCAAAAATTAAAGTAAAAAAACCCAACCAAACAAAAGCAGGGACTTACTGTATGCTAAGGTCACGTCCTCTCGCTGTGCCTCGACTTGGATACTGCGCCAGAATTGAGGATAATGCCTTTAGTCTCTTTCTGCATTCCAGAAAGTCCTGGCTGAAATGAAAATCTGTGGAGGCTGAGAGGGGAAGTCCATCCTTCACCCGCACCACACAGGCAAAGAAGATCATGGACATTCTCCACTGGAGTATTCATGAGGACAACCTGAAAATGAAACAGTCCATTAGGTTAACGGCACATTGATGGATGTGATATTAGTTAGAAACATGGTAAGGTGTCCTGCTTTCGCTGGGATAGAATCACAGAATCCATTTTCTGTGCAGAAAAAGCTACATTTCTAAAGCCAGCTGCATTTTTAAGACTGCAGCACCTGACTGGGTAAGAACAAAGTTGATAAGACACTTGGGTTTAGTTTGTAGCCAGCCATGGTATGCAGGTAGCCAGAGCGATCAAGGACTTGACAACTAGTTCTTGCCAATGACCCAGATGTCCAAGAACTGAGGGCATTGCGACCAGGGCAACTGCTTTCTAAACTGGCAAATGGGCATGCCATATCATGCAACGTCAGGCTCGCCATAAACTGGAAAGTTTGTTAGGGAAGATCTCTCTCTCTTTCTCAATGGTTGCCGTCCCTGAAGGGTCTTGCCCACCACGCTGCTCCCAAGGCCTACTCTCTCCCTTCTGGAATCGCGGTTTCAGGACTTTTCTGCTCCAGGATCACTAGCTGGGAAGAGGCTGGACATTGGTCAGTGGGTGGTGAGCAATTGCACCATACATCACTTGTCTATATATATTATTATCATTATTACTTTTCATTTTATTTTATTTCGGTTATTAAATCGGTCTCACCACAATGGATCTTTCTCGCTTTTCCCAATCCCGTTTCTTGAGTGGGGAGGGGTCACTAAGTAATAGAACAGCTGGCTATTGTTTAGCCCCAGACACAGGCTCAACGTAGACATAAAGTCAGAGTTTATTCACCACTGCTGCTGAACAGAACCTCTGGTAACACCACTGCCACTGAAACGCAATCAAACCGTTATCAAAGGTCATGGCTGCATCCATTTTTTGCCTCTCAGACAAAAAGGTGAGGCAGGGAATTCCACAGGGGAATTAACTACCTGAAAAATACCACTATTTTCCCTCCTTCCTACTTTACCTTAAGCATCAGAAATGCTGAGTTAAGTTCTTAAAGGTGTCTATGGAAACTGGCTAACTCCCACTGACATGCTGCATCTTCGCTTGTGTTGCCAATCGTTAGACCATGGAATCACGGAATGGTTTGGGTTGGAAGAGACCTTAAAGATCATCTAGTTCCAAACCCCTGCCACGGGCAGGGACACCCTCCACTACACCAGGTTGCTCAAAGCCTCATCCAACCTGGCCTTGAACACTTCCAGGGATGGGGCATTAGTTGCATTAGTAGTTATCTGATTTTCTAGTACAACAATATACAAAATACAAATACAAAAATCAAGTTTAGGCTACGCTCTGTCAGACTCTTTTTACAGAAACAGTTAGGATTAAATACAGAATAAAAGTTTCCCTCTCTTGACTTCTTACACTTTAACAGTCTCCCATAAAAAGTTATGATTGGGATTTACCTGGTGCATTCAGAAGGCACAAGAGATCCGTCCTTCAGACATACCACAAGTATTCAGCACCAGATGTTAGAAGACTAATGCAGCAGCTCCCCATCTCTGAAAGAGAACCACAACGAACATTTTTGAACACTAACTAATGACCTATATGGATGTACAATGCAAAATCTCCTGTGCAGTGGGTATAAACATCACCTAGAAAGCGTTTTGCCTAAATGAAAACAAACAACTCTTCTTTTTTTTTAATCCAATATATCAAATCCCAGATGCGTTCAAAGACACTAGGAAATGAAATGCAGAATATTTCTGATGCCCCAATCACTGTTTTTAAGTTGAGCTGCAATTTTACAGGAAGCTGGGATAAAATCAGCAGACTTTAGGTCATTATTGCAAACAAGTCAAGGAAACAAAACAAAGAAAAAAGGAAAAAAAAAAAAAGAAAACTAAAAACCACACTGTGAACTCCAACTTCCGATAGAGGGAATGACTGCTTTAACAGCCCTGTATCAAACAATTCACTACAACACTCAAAGCTTCTTTGAAACATGTCTCATTTTCAAGTGTTTTTCCTGCCTAAGAAGGTTAAGAGAACAAAGCCTCTTCTAGTTCAGGCATTCATAAACTCTCCTGCCTGTAGATCTGTTCTAATAAGGGTCGAGTTCTTACTACAAGTGGTACTAAAAGTCTTGTTTCTGCTCTAGAGGAATCATTTCCACAAGACTTGTAGGAACTATCCCCTGTCCAGGGTGGCTGCAATTTGCCAGCACGTCAAAGCAACTAAAAATTGTCAGTGGAATCGACAGAAAACCTAATTGCACATAACTTGTTTCCTTAGAAAAGGAAATTAAAACTACAGAAGACTACACATCACTTGAAAAGTGTTATTTTGAACTTTGAAAAGGGAGATTGAAGAAAAATTAGACGTTAACATCAGGTGCCCATCAGAGGAATTCTCTGCTCTCCTGTGAAAGATCTGGTATCAGTCACACTTCCAAACTAAATGTCAGACTGCACTCGAGTAGTGAGTCAACATTTCCTCCTTGGGGAATACACCTGCTGAAATGTACTATCAGACTGTCACTGCTGTGCTCATCCAAAAGGCTTGATTTTTTTTTTTTTTTTAACTCTCCCTGCCTGTGAATTTTTAGTGTTGCTGCCTAAGGAAATGATGCAAAATGATGCCTCTGGGCAAAGCAACTGGAAACATGTTCACTGGTTCTGCTTCTTCCAGAGCTCCCTCTCACACGGTGTAAAGGAAGGTTTGCATACATAACATCCTACTCGCCAAAAGAGCAAAAAGGTGTGAGGACAGTACCTGTAAAGACTTATGAGGAGCTAAAAAAAAAAATATACAGGTTTTTCATAATTCAGAGTTTTATTTCAAACGTAGCACAGGCTTTGCTAAAAGATGTGAGGGACAACATAACCCTACAGAAGAGGGCAAAGCCTAAAAATCATAGAATCATAGAATGGTTAGGGTTGGAAGGGACCTCAAAGATCATCCAATTCCAACCCCCCTGCCATGGGAGGGGACCCCCTCCACTACACCAGGTTGCCCAAAGCCTCATCCAACCTGGCCTGGAACACTTCCAGGGATGGGGCAGCCACAACTTCTCTGGGCAACCTGTAAAAAAAAAAAATTAGAAAAAAAAAAAAAATCCACGCAACAGGTTCACCTGTCTTCTGTCTAACTCTTATCACCAACCACGTATCCCTGGAATTCATCCAGCCCCCTCCTTTCCTTTCCCAGATTCCCCCAGCCCACCTATTCTGGCCCTGCACCTCAACAAGGCTTTGGGTTTTCTTTTTCACAAGCCTCTTGTAACTTGCACACTGGCAGGCGTTCCGTGCCCATGGCAAACAACCTCCCTCGACAGTTTAATTCCCTGCACACCAGCTTTGCCACGTCACCTGTAAGTGACTGCAAGTCATCAGAACGTGCTGGATGGATCACGGTGTGCACCCAACCAAGTTTTCCTGCTTCAGATCCGTCTGCCCTTTCCTCCTCCACTCTCTTTCTCTTTGCATATGACTAGCAGCCCAGAGTATCTGCAACTGATTTCACGTGGCAGACCTTTGAACCCAGGTCCTGAGCTCTGACACCGTGCTTGTGCCTTTGGATTAAGCAGCTCCCAAATCTGGTGCTGTTCAGAACGAGTGACATCGTGCCAGCCCAGCTATGTCACTACCCTAAAGCAGGCAAAACCTTGGGAAAGATTTTAAGTGACTGTTCCAGAAGAACACACATTACAATTTACGACTGAAGTGAACACAGCTTGTTTGCTCATTATTTGAAGCACCTGTACATAGAATCACAGAATCATGGAATGGTTTGGGTTGGAAGGGATCTCAAAGATCATCCAGTTCCAATAGGGCAGGGACACCTTCCACTAGATCACGTTGCTCAAAGTCTCATCCAGCCTGGCCTTGAACACTTCCAGGGATGGGCCAGTCACAACTTCTCTGGGCAACCTGTTCCAGCGCCTCACCACCCTCAGAGGGAAAAATTTCTTCCTTTTATCCAATCTAAATCTGCCCTCTTTCAGTTTAAATCCATTGCCCCTTGTCCTATCACTACACACCCTTGTAAAAAGCCCCTCTCCAGCTTTCCTGTAGGCCCCCTTTAAGTACTGGAAGGCTGCTAGAAGATCACCCCGGAGCCTTCTCTTCTCCAGGCTGAACAGCCCCAACTCTCTCAGCCTGTCTCCAGAGCAGAGGTGCTCCAGCCCTTGGATCATCTTCATGGCCTCCTCTGGACCCGCTCCAGCAGCTCCATGTCCTTCTTGTGTCGGGGACTCCAGAGCTGAACACAGTATTCCAGGTGGAGTCTCATGAGAGCAGAGCAGAGGGGCAGAATCCCCTCCCTCGACCTGTTGCCCACGCTGCTTTGGATACAGCCCAGGACACGGTTGGCTTTCTGGGCTGCCAGTGCACAGTGCTGGCTCATGGTGAGCTTCTCATCAATCGGCACTCCCAAGTCCTTCTCCTCAGGGCAGCTCTCAATCCATCTAACACCACTTCAGAAGAACACAGTATGGTGTGGGACTCACAAACAGCACATATTTACCAGTCTTACAACAAACAAGACTCTCTAGGTACTCCCACAACAGGCATCTAAGAAGTGACCTGACACACAGCCCCTCTATCCCTTCCTTCCTAATCAGCAGCCAACTCTCTCCAGTGACTACGTAGGGATTATTAAAGCAGCCTTAATCAGAGCTCTGACACTTTACTACACTGTTACACAAGCTCCTTCAAATAAGATTAGACCCAATTCACAAGCACCACGCTTCTCCAAATGCTGGACAAACTCCTACCTCACTGTCTGGTTTCAGTCTCAACCAACAAGGAGAGAAAATGAATGAGACATGGTTCATGAGGGAGAGTTACTACTACTCTGCAGGATCACAAGGTGGATTTTATCTTCTTCTCACATAGATCAAAAAGCAAATCTGAAATGCTGTTAAGTCTCTCATCTTCTAAGACTGCAGTAACGGTATCCATCTGCTTCCTCCCAGCTGCTTCCCCTCAGTGCTCACAGCAGTGCTGACCAAGCTACAGACATCACAGGCCCACAGTGCAACACAAGCCACTCTCCAGATCTCACAGCAAACACACACAATTTGAAAGCATGATGCTATCCCAACTTTTGAATTTGTGGATATCAAAAGCCTATAGGCTCCTATAAACCCTGCAGGCTTTATTCTTACCCCCAAAGGGCAGCAAGTAGAAAACCCTTACCACAACGAATCTCCTGTCTATGAAGCACCAGAAATCATGTGAGTTACACAAAACTCAAACCCCAACATTCAGCTTCTCCATCAACTGCACTGCCTCAACGGACAGTCCTCCTAACCCCTGCCCAAATCACACCATAACAACTCTGTCAGGCTCTGAAGCTCTCCCCCTACATCAATCTCTCAGAAACATCACCCACTTTACCGGCTCCCACACACACACACACCCACTCCCACTACCTTGTACCCTCCTAAGAGCCCACCAGCTCATCCCCACACTTTCACCAGCCCACACAACGACGGGCTCTTCCCACACCCACCCTGTTCCCCTCACCACATTACATATTCACCTCTTCTCTAAGGGACACTCAATAAACCCAGACACCTTGAAAGCCATCCCCCTCATCAGGGCACTCTTTCACACTGACAAGTATCCCCATACACCACTCAAGCAACCCAGACACCCCCAAATCTCAGTCCCATCCCACAGGTCCCAAACCCTCACATTATCCCACCTCACCTGAGCGCCCCCCAGCCCAACCCGAGCCTTCCTCAGAGCTCCAACTCTTCCTCCCCCTA